AACCATGTGTCCGGACGTCTGAGGTGTCTCGGAATACAGCGGCAAAGTGCTGTCTAGGGGTGTGCGGTGCAGCTCCGTAGACTATAGAGGCGTTCACTGCCGGCGAAGAGGGTCCACATGCAAGCGGTAAAGTGCCATGTTACCTTTAAGAAACGCTTGTGAACTGCAGGTACAAAAGCTATGATTGTAAGGCCAATATGCTTAAACGGCATAACGGCTGGAGCTATGGCATGATATTCCTCAGCGTTGCGCGCTGTCATACTTTTCATGTGGGCAAACCGTTTCTCTACGTGAGCAACAGACGGCGCCACCGGCACGTGGAAGAGGACGCCTATCGTAAGATGCAGTCGTTAAGGAGCACACGTGAGCTGAGGAAGTATGTTTTCACGCAGTACCGTCGAAGTGTTAACCATTACGACCTCTGGACAAGAAATCAGTGAAAGTTATGGTTCAGTTGCTGGAGAGTGTCGGTCAGTCTAACGTCGGAATCGGAGATACGGTTCCTAGTTTCCGTTCCGAGGTACGTAGTTGACCACGTAGAGATTTACAGTAAGGTAACGCTGGCGGATGCGACACACCAAATGAACTGCGATGGCTACATGCTGTGGAACTGCATGTTGGTAGACCTACAAGGTATAGGACGTTCATTTTTCTACCCCATGCTGCCGAATGAGACAACGGCTACGCACGTAAACGCTGTGCGCCACATGCGCCTTATCTTACCGGCGACTGAGGCCGCAAGGACAGTGGTGATGTGTAAGTGCACGGCCCAGGTCCATGATTTTCATTCCCTGTACCCCTCTGGGCGCATTGCATTGTGCCGTTTCCATTTACCAAGGGATGTCACCCGTCGCGGCAAGGAGTTATTGGCGAACTCTGCAACGGATAGGTTGCTCATTAAGCAGTGGGCGCAGAACCTGGTGTATGCTAGGAGTTCCTCGTTGTTTGACAGGTACTTGATAGCCATTAAAACGCAAAACTCCGAAGTGCACAGACCATTGCTAAAGACTTGGTTGTCGTTTGTCTTGTCATGGGTGGCGCACCGTCTGAGATCAACCTGTTTGTCTAGCTGCTATACGACAAAGCGTGTGGGGAATGAACATAGGCTTTTAAAGAACCGTCTTTCGGAACGAATATCCTTATTAGGCCTATTGACCGCAGTCGTTAACTGCGTGGTTGATGCCAATCGCGGTGGCAAAATTAGCTGAGAAAAGCGGACTTCTCTAAGCACGCACTGGGCCCTTGCTTGGACAGCTTTGGACAGGCTGCTTCTTAGTTTTTATGGTACACTAGGATGCGTGTGTTGCCACTACACCAAGGAACAGATGAACGTGACGGACTTGTCCAATGCTACATGCCAAGTGCAGAGTTGCCTGAGGTAACACACGGTGTCAATGCTTATGGACGTAACATGCCAATGTAGCTTCAGTCGGCAATAGCTGCTTCCGTGCGCACGCATGGTGCTTGCATTGCAGGCGGCTGGCCGACCGGTAGACGATATATTGCGCAACAGCCGCTGGGTTGTGCCGCACGCGCAACATCTACGTGTAACCGCATCCACGTCCTCTGCCATCGTCCCGCTGCCGTCCACTATGGCAGTGGCTCCAGTGGCTATTGAGCAAAAGCTTCGCGATTGCAGTCAGGTTCTGGGTGCTTTTCAGGCGCAGGTTTGTAGACTGAGCGATACAAATATATGGAGGTGATGGAGCAGCTGCAGAAGTTTCTACGCAACCTAACCAGTTCTCACCATGACGTTGAGGTATCTGCCTTTGAAACCATAAATTAATCAGCAGCGGTAGGGATCGATGAACCTACCAGGCAGGTCAAGACGTGAGCAACGCCTAGTGCACATTACAGGTGTGTCCGTCGGTCCGGAGGTAGAAGACAGCCCAGTTCGTTTCAGCCATTTGGGCACCACTACCGCCGGGGTGTATAAGCCTTCAAGGAAGCCTCGTTGTCATGTAAACGCCCAGCCAATTACGACAATGACAAGTGTGCTTTGTTCCTTTAAGCAGACTGCGAGGCACGGAGCCGCCAGGTAACTGGCTGGGTCATGTGCTCCGACTGCGGCCATTGGTATGGTCAGCTGTGCGCGTCGTAAAACGGACAGGAGCACTTGACCTGCCATCTGTGTTTGTAAGTCTTCATTTTACAGGTTCCCCCTTTTCTTTCATTTATTACTACGCGTCTACATCCGCTTGGTCTTTAGGTACCCCCACCACACACACATATACGGTGCCTCCCCGATGGCACGTATGCCTACTTTACCATCAGGATCACACAGGATGCGAGTTGTCAGGTATGCCCAAGGACACCAAAAGCACCAGCAAGTCTGTCGCTTTGTGAAAATACGCAGATTCGCCTAAGTTCCTTTATTACAACTTGTTCTTCTAGCCAACCCGAAGAACCTTTGTGGTTAGCCAAGCACCAGGATAACATGTATCGAGCAGATAAGAACTACGCTTGCAGTCCTATCGGTACTACATTTGTGACGACGTCTTACCTCCAGGCTGCTCAGTGATCCATCACTCGGGGATGAGTGTGAATGACATCACTTACACGGGCTTGAGCATTTCGCCTGGTACTGTACAGCTTATGGCCCCCATAACTTTTCGTGCCGTTTCTGGATACTCTTTCTTCAACGACCACACTAGCCGTTTGGGCATAACTAATGCCAACATTTTGGCTTACACAAGGGTTGTTCAGGGTCGTTTCGGCGATCACCGTTTGTTGGCTTTTGCTTTTCTCCATTTCTGTCAGTTAGTTACCACAGCAGCTGTAGGTGGTGTCAGCATTGTTAGAAGGAAGCTGCTGGTGCAGAGCTAGGTAATGCCTGTTCACTCCCCGCTCCTTCAGTGTCTTAACGGACCATATGTCTTTACTGCCATATACAGCTGCTGTGTGACCACACTAACCATGCTGTGTAGTGGCTTGTACACCGTGTTTCTCTGTGGGTTTATGAGGTCCAACGCCTCAACGCCCTTACGGTGACCTCCTGCTCCCATACGGATCGTAACCCGTAACCCAATCAACGCTTCCCGCAGCTTTGCAATCAAGACAGGTAGCTACTAAGGCACCCAATGCGGCTGCAAAAAATACTTTCTCACTGGGTAAGAACGGATGCTTCCTTGTCGCACTGGGTTATTTGGTGTTGGATGTCGCTTCCGGTGCACGCCGTTAAGGAATGCAAGGGTGAGGGCTGTCGGTTTCTGTTACATCCACTTGCCGTAACCAGCTGTAGTATCAATGTAAGCTGCTGCCGGATTTCCACATCAATTAGCCTTTACATCCCGCGGTATTCATACATGAAGTTCACAATATGAACACCTAAACGGCCAGATAACGAATGCATCTACATGGAACACGAGACGAGAGGGAAAGGAAAAGAGAAAACCATTAAACACTAGTAACCTAAGGGACAACAGGTAAGCACTTGACTTTCCACTATGACCTCAAGTGATAAACCATGTCCGCTGATGGACAGCGAACATTGGAAAGTATTTTTTCAGTACCTGTGCACATCCGGAAAATATGCAACCTGATACATTAAAAATTTTTAACAATATATCTCCTAACACATACATCGCTGGGTTGTAATCAGACAAACACACGTCCAACACCGTCTTTCCTCCGGTGATTCCCTTTCTAATACCAGCAATGTTGTTATTCACACAGTGCAACCGCATAAGTCTCCACCTTGCACCGATATATATTTATCTATCAACTATTCACAAGCAAGACTTACATTTATTTGATGGTTTCGACATGTCTCTCGCATTTACGTTCACGGTAGCGCACACAGCAATCATAAATAAATAAATAAATAAACGTTTTATTCCTCAGCAGTGCGAGGCAAAGACCAATTGGGTGGTCTTATCAACATGTACAACGTGATCGCATAATATAGTTAATTGTTCGTCTTTTGATCAAAGGTTCCCATAAGGGTTTTGAAATAATTAGCAGTCAATAGGCCAGTCACAATTTGATGGAAAATCTTGGCGAGTGACGACGATGGTACAGAGATATCAGCTTGGAAGGCGTA